ATTACATGAAGCAGATCATGATCATTTCACTCATCTGACTTTCATTGTGAGAGTAAAGTGTGCTTCTGGATCCGACGGTTCTATCGCCTCCATTGGCTTGGTCTGGGCTGGTGTGCGGTGTGTGTATGGGATCCACTCTGCGTGTAATACCCACAGACAGAGGAAGTCATCTAACTCCGCCCACTGAGCTCGACCAATCAGGGTACAAGAAGAACCACAGCTACAGAGAACACAGAGAAAACGTTTACGAGATAATAATTGATCTGGCGTTGTTCATTCTGTTAATTATTTGTTTTCTAATAAATCCAGTTTATTATAGCATACTCACCATTGTGATGATTCATTATGATCAATACCATATAGTAGCCTATATTAGCCTAAATATTCTACAACAGGCTTCTTAAGTTTTGCTATATTATTCGTTTATAACTGTTCCAGCTGAATCGTAGGCTAGGCTATATCTTATATTTCACAACAGTACATTGCAGTTAAATGCAGTTTTTAATTTACATTTAGTCCTATATCATAAGAGCTTTCTATATTAAAGGGGACCAACTCCCTTTATTTTTACACAATGATACTAAAAAGTGATTATGTTCTTTTTTCTGAATTTACTTTCGAGACTTTAATTTAACTTTGCTAAGTTATTTTTTTTTACTCCTATTCTTGATTTATTCATGTGCCTATCATTTTTTAAACCTTTTATTCTAAATGTTCCATCAAGTTCAACAAAAGTGTTGCAGAAATTTTACCTCTGATCTATGAAGATTAAGCTTCTAATATCCAAGCTTTTGTTTATTGTTCTTTTGTTCATTATACTTTCTATCTTAATGACAATTATGTATGATTTTCTATTTTCTATCTAGTATATGAAAAGCCAATTTTTACGACCCACACCAACACACCTCCTCTCTGACTGAAGAAGAAATCTTATCCATAATTGTTTAGAATTTCATACATTTAGCAATTCTTGATGTTAATCAGAGTCAGAGAACAACCTGGTGAAATAGAGACTGTTTGTCAAAACTTCACTAACAAAATGCAAAAACAGAAGAACAAAATACATTTCACTTCTCTTGCAAAAGCAATCACTACATTCAAACATATCAACTCTTCTAAAATAATAATTTTTCATCAAAACTTTACACAAGCAACAAAAAAAATCTTTATATCACTAACAACACACAGCTATAAAACACTTAACATTTCTAAGTTTCTAATGAGTATTAAAACACAATTTCTGTGTCTTTTTCTGTTTCGTTTGAAGCACGCTGGTAATTGAACACATATGCAATGGGGGAAACAAAATCCCTTTATTCTATTTCACGATACTCTTTAATAGTTGTGCAAATCTGGACTGACGTTTATTTTTTCGTGTGTCGATTTTCCTGTGGTCCAGAGTTTACTGTAATTCAAACAACCAGTTTGCCATACATCAAGTTACTTGGTCATGCTGCCACCTTGTGGTTAACTATATTATTGCATTATTAAGTAGTATACACCCTTGTCTTCATCATCAAAGGACTTAAAAAATGAGCTTCCTGTAGACCAACACTGTAATTTGTGATCGGTATGTGTTGTACTGTTTAGACTGTCATTTAGGCTCTCAAACACAGAAACGTATATATGAAATGGCACAAAACCTTTCCTGGATCTGTCTCAAACTGTATCCACAATTATACATGTTCAGAATCAGTAAAACAGAGAAAATCAATTCAGTTTTTTTATTGACTCGTGTATCTAATGAATCTAAACCACTGATTTACAATATTCTGTGCATCAACATGCTACATCCTAACAACCTGCTTTGAGTTAGTGTTTATGTATTTCATAAATGTATATTGGCAACATTAGTGTTCTCAGGTTGATAATGCGTGTAAGTGCATATTTGCATGTACTTGCAAATATGCAGGTACAGGCACATATGTATGTAAATATATGTGGACACGTATGTAATTGAACTTTACTGTGCCTGATATAATGACAGTTATATTATGATTACTATGGTTAGAGTTATTATGAATATCATTGTTATTTTAGTAGTTGTTTATTTGCTTATTTTTTCCTTCCTTTTCCTGATACCCATTCTCCCATTCTTCCCACAAACCTGTCAAAATCAAATAAATACTTTATATAGATCATAGTAAACAATATAATAGATATTCAACAAAGTATGTGACTTTTAATCTCACTGTAATTCATCTAATCTTTCTCCATCATCTTCTTTATTCACTTTTTTATTCATAGTATTTCATCAAATCAATAACTTGTTTTGCTGTTATCCTTCCTGTTGTTAACCTGCCTACTGCCTCTTGTATTCTTCTTTTAAACTGTCCTTATCTCAGAAATGTCATTTGCTCACTATTTTGTTGTATTATTTCACCAACAAAAAAAAGCAAACACCAGAGTCATGTCTCTATGGTAATAAATGCATAACAGAGGCCAATGCATTAATCAACTATAATCACTGCTAACAGGAATACAACTGGAAATGGCAAACAAACAAAACATAAAAAAGGGTTCAGGAAAGGGGGGGGGGGGGGGAGAAAAAATGAAACAGTTTTAATGAGGTTGCACTTAATTTTTTTATTTGCAAGAAAATACATCTTCATCTTTCAACATAAAGTGACCTTAGCACATGTTTTTGTTCAGATGACCTTTAATCCGATGTACCTCTCTTTACTCTAACGTTAAAGAATACGGTTTCCTACAGTACACATGCACAATGAGAATGCAATTAAGTAAGTCCTGAATATTGTTCCAGGAATTCAAAATTATAAAATAGTTACATATTCAGGAGAGTCGTCTGCAAACAGAGAACTCTTTAAAGTTAAGTACAAAGTGTAGTTATCCCCAGCTCTGAGGGAGGATGACAGCATGTTGCTTCAGAGGTCAAAGACAGTCAAAGAAATACCTCCTTCCTAATACTGTAGGTTAGAAATAAATAAAAAAAATCATATTCCCCGACCTAAATTTCCTCTCCTGACTCGGTGATAATATTGATTTGACTGTCCTTAACCTCTTGAATTACATGAAAAATCAAGATGAAAATGTCATACACTAACATTTCCCATGATCCCAGTTCACAAACCACATGTTCAGTAAATCCAAATTCAAACACAGCTATGTGGTTCTAATTAATCAATGTTACATGCACTATCAACACAATAATAAAATAAAAAAATATCACACATTGAGAACCTTTAATGACCTGACCACACATTGTCTTTGAAACCAGAAGGGGGGCATTATCATACATAACAGATTCATTCAAACTCTTACTGGAAGGCTGGAAGGCCTAACTTTCTATAGAAAGAAAGTGATGTGAGTAAGGGTGTCATTAGGGTATATAATAGGAGAGGCTAGAGGTCAAACTATATGAATAGGTCAATTGGTTTGAATGGTTTCCTATTAATGGGTAAGAAATGCTGATGTGCCATTTTAGAAGAAACACTGACAATAAAAATATTGTTTTCCCTGTAATTAGTTCCAGCTTCAGACCTGCTTACTAGCAGAGAGTCACAGCAGAGCAGCATATTTAAAAGTGGCAGAAAAACTGAAGGGATATTGTACCTGGAGGCAGTGGAAACAAATGAAGGTTTAACTTCCATGATAAAGGTGTACATTTCTAATAACACATTTTGAAATAGATCAATATAAATGCAAAAAACTAACAAATTAAGAAATGGAACAAACAGATCTTCTCTCATTTGATAAAGTCTTATATTCTGGAGGATTTAAAAAAATAAAAAATAAAGCACTGACTTGCCACAAATCACCACTGAGCGGCAGGGTGAGTGATAACTGCTTCCAGGAAAGGTAAAAGATCCATACCAATGAATGAAGAAAAATGATTTCTGCCTTAGCTATACGATTAATGGTCATGCCAATGAGGCACTGTCTACTCTGGAGCTGACCTTATGCTGCAGTGTCACCTGGCAGACTCTGCGTCATTCAGCAGCTTCTCTGGCCTCCTGTCAACAAAGTCTGAATGACAGCGGAGTAACAGAATGTTAGGGATCAGAAACACCAGAATGCATCTGAAAGGACTTGTTCTGTTCCTTTTCAGGTCTATGGTAATGCCTACTGAACCAATGTTGAAGTGTTTGTCCAGCTGATATAACTAGACCATTACAGAGAATTCAGATTATTGTTTCTGGTGGATATAAATTGAATGCATTCACAATTGCATTGTATTTTATTCTCCTGTCACATTTTCAGGGAAGAATAATGAAAGTCCTTTTGTAATGTTTGCTTCCATATGGTCTTAAGTCCTCTAAAACCATGCACTGAAAGCCAAAGGGGGGGGGGGGGGGGGGTAAGGAGATGTATAAAGTATCAATGGAGCAAGCATCTTTAAAGGCTTTACATGTGATTTTTTGATCCAGCAGATGTCGCCCTTGAGCATGAAACCAAAATAACTCGCGCTGCATTGTTGTGTTAGCATGCTAATGCTAGTGATCTTTATTATGCTCGTATCTTCACACTGCATGTAAATTTACCTGAAATGAACGTGATCTAGAAACACAGTTAAGCAGTGAGTACAGTATGTTATTCTTCTTTTCTCTAGTCCCTCAATTAAACTACTTTTATACATGAGGGGAGGAGTCAGCCAGCCGTCCGGGCGATGTAAACAAACTGAAGATAGGACTCTGAAAACTCTGAAAACATCACAGACAGTGGGACTCGGGTGTTACACCCATTGTAGACAGTCATGACTCACAGAGTTATTTTCAGAGGATAGACTTGATTTCTATTATATTTAAGAGTGAAAAATCATATATTAAGACTCTAAAGGAAGAATATGTGACATTTAACACATAAATACAGGAAAAAAAGAATATCATGAGAACCTCCTCACTGCTTATTTGGATGTCATGTAAGTGTCTTCAGATCTCGGTCATTCTGTGTCAATTTATATGCAATATGAAGCTAAACCAAAGAGTTCTAACATTAGCATGCTAACACAACAATTCAGGACACAGGTGATTGCAGTTCGAGCAAAGGACAATTTTGTCCACCGCTTGTGCTTAATGGTGCTTAATTATGCTGCTTTCTAATTCATAACTCCTTCGTGCGAACGCGTGTGGAGAATGGTTGGAGGTGTGTCTCTGGAGGAGAGCAGAATTTTCAGAATAGTAGAGATGTCCCCAAACAGCAGTTTGTTTTGGGCGACATCTACTGGATCAAAAAGTGGCACATTCTTCCTTTAAGACCTGGGAGAAGAAACCTTAGAAGAAACCAGAATAAAGGTGTTTGTGTTGGTCTTCTCCTGTTCATGTCACTGATTGTCCATGCTTTGCAACACCATCATGGTGAAGTGTTAAACAGAGACATGATAACAGTGTTATTGTTTCCAGTGACCTGATATTACACTTAACCAGTCAATACATCTTTCAGAATAACATGTATTGAGTTCTGATTGGTGTTAAAGTATAAATACACAAGTCCAGTGATTTTTCTCTCTTATAAAATGATTTCCTCATTCATATGATTCTATAGTGATTCCACACATGTCATTGGTTCTGGGTTCTGTAATTGAAGTTAGGGGTGATACATAGATTTGAACATAGGACACATTGAATCACAGTTCAACTAGGTAAACATTTGGTAACCTATCACACAAAAAATGATCCTTAATAAATCAAATCATTGAATGTTCAACTCCCTGTTCCTATTGTGTGATGTAGAAAACAATCCAAACTCCCTGGTACACCCCCAATAGTCGAAAGCCTTTGAAATCCTTTTCATTTAGACTCTTTATGCACACATGTCTGAAAAGAAGTACAGCTACATCTCAAACTTACAACCACCACATGAAAACAGCATTTATGACTTTTTCATGAAAAGGTAATGATGTTTATGCACTGGATCACTAATTTCACAGTATCACACCTTCAGAGAAGTTATGTGTTAAAGCATGGAGGTCGAAAGAGAATGATCGGACTGTTTGTCAAATAGTGCTCAAACCAAAAGTAAGTCCTATTCTGTTAAACACAATAAGGCCTAATAAACTAAAATGTAATGTGTGGAGTTTTACCAAAACTTTCAGGGTAATGTAAACACTCTGCTTCCACTTTAAAACCAAAATGAAGCTTTGACTTGTGTCCTCATCAAGTTTATAGTTTGATAGAATGAGCGCCATGTATTAGCTCATTGTCACATCATGCCATGTTGTACATCCAAACAGACTCAAAAAGAGCCAACAATCATTAAGCACACAGGTGTGTTTGGTGTCAACACAGCGAACAGTTTGAACAGGGCACTGCGTGCAGGTGGGTCTGTCAGCAACATCGCTATTTGTGTATGGTATATATATGTAGACCACCAGGACCAGAAAGCTTTTGAGGGTGGCTCTTAATCTCATTGTATTTGTTCAATAAAGCAGAAACCTGTAGTTAAGGAGTCAGGCCTGCGTCACTAATCATTATAATAATGACCCCAGATCGGCCATTTTTCTGTGCCAGCTATGTGTGCATCTGCAACTGAGCCTTAGTGGTTCACTTTGTCAGCAAGAAGATGGGTTAAGGTGAGGTATCAGGAAAGGGATTGTACTGTAGCCAGATCCTCCAATCAAACCAAGGCATACTGTGACATTTTGAAAAATAGTCTCTTATGAACTCTCAAAGTTAGGAGGTAACTTCAGTTGGGACAAGATTCTACTGCTAAATTAAGAAACATGTTCATCCTGTACAGTCCCAGAACGCTGGGATCAGAATACTGCTTTGGACATTATAAAGTGGTTTTTGTACTACAAGTTTTTTCAGCTAAAATGCAGCTATCACCGAGTCACTGTGAGTGAACACAACAAACAGAAACAACCCTCTATAAAAGAGTAAAGTGCTAAAAAAACAAACAAATTAATTTACCAGTTTGAACTGTGGCAAACTGACGTTAAAAATGATGTATGCTGAAACAAAATATTTAAAAACCTACATCCGATAGGAGAATACTATTCTCCACCTTGCTGTCCCGCTCACAGCAGCAGGGTAAAGAAGAGACTAAAAGAAGAGAGGAAGAAGGAGATGTCTACACTGGTTTAATGGAAGAGGCTCGGAGCAAAATAAAAAATTCTAAACAACCTAAAAAAAAAAAAATCTAAGCCCCCCCCCAAAAAACCATGAACAAATCCCCCTACAGATTTCTGTTTTCTTTCATTGCCTCTTTGTCCCCCCCCTCCATTCCTCTCTTCTTTTCCCCTCTGGGCCCCTTACCCAGCTCTAATTCACTCCTCTGCTGTTTTGAGGACCGAGTCGTCTCCCAGGATTTTGCACAGCTCGTTCAGGCGATGCTGCATCTCGGGGATGCCGGCCAGCTGGGCCTCCAGGCGCTGTTTCTCCTCGGTGAGGGAGAGGCGCGTCGCCGTGTCCAGCTGCTCGAAGCGCCAGCCTCCCTCGCCGTCAAACTGCAGCAGGTGGGTGTGGTACTTCCTAGAGGCAGAGAGGACGATTTAAAAGCAGGACAGCGACACAACTTGTAAAAATTTACTTGGTGCATGCAATGAATTCAGGATGAATGAGGAGTTGAAAGGTGAGCAACATGAATCTTATTTTCAGTTATCCTCCACTGCACTTTTCATGAATTAGAAAAGAAAGGATAGAAGAATTGTTCTTACCACAGTGAGGGTCTGTGTGTGATGGACAGTAAAGAGATGCTGGCATCCTTAGCAGTCTGGAAAATCTTTCCCTCCACGTCAATACTCACAGCACTGGTACACTCATCCAACAGCGCATACTTAGGCCTGAAACACATCGGGAGTATTACTTTCATTTTCTTTTCTTTTTTTTTGCAATTTTGTGTTTATTGGGCAATCCAAACATAGTTCATTTATCCAAACATAGTTCATTTATCCAAACATAGTTCATTTATCCAAACATAGATCCTTACATCATTATTCTTTTTTTTATAATGTCATACAAAACAATAATAGAATGTAGAAGAAGAAAACAAAATGGTTATAATAATATCTTAGTTTGCCCAATTTATTTTGTAATAGAGAAAAATAAAACAACAAAAACCAAGCAACCCACATAAAAAAATAAAACATAATCCACACACACACGCGCCCAGAACAAAATAGACCAAAACAAACAAGTGACACACAAAACACCAATGACATAACCATGATTTATTTTCAGTTTTTGCAACCAACCAATTAGTTTAATTTTCATTGATTTAGTGAGTATTTAATGAGATTACGTGGTGATATCATCTGCATGTTTTTAGTCAGAAAATAACCAAACAGTGCTTAGACAATAAACACTCTGTAGACTTCTTTGTATCTTCCCTTAGCCTGGGCTGTGGGCTTGTTGATGCTCATTCTTAATAATCACTTTTCATGGCTCATTGATAGGACCAATTTGAAACTTGACTCTAATGAAGCTGTAAATTCTCACCTGTGGTAGAACATACGGGCCATGCCCATCCTTTGCTTTTCGCCTCCTGACAGAACATCCTTCCAATCCAGCTCAGTGTCCCAGCCTTGATGCAAAAGCAGACATCACACAGGCTTGTAAACATTTGCTACAGAAGGTGTTATACCTATAGATAGTGACATTTTTAGATAACAAGTTTTGAGAGTTTTCCAGTTTTATCTGTAACAGAACAGGGATTTCATTTAAATTATTTCAGTGAAATATAGTCAAAGAAAGGGCATGAAGATATTTTATAGAACTGGAAATCTTGCAAAACATTAGGCCTTAACATTTAGAATTTAGACTAAAAGACATTTCGATTGATGTAAAGAAGCAATAAAATGTAAACAGATTGGGTTTGCAGCCATTAACAACCACTACAACACCATAACAGATGAAAGATGTTTCCTAAAAGGTTTACAGAGTGTTAAGTTCATAGCAGTACAACTATTTTTGCGTGATGTTTTTAAAGGCATAACAGAAAATTCACAGCACATGTATCTACATCTATGACTGATGATACCTGACAACATGTGTGTGATACTGTTGCATGTGCAATCAAGACCTTTCTCAGCTTTGTTCACAGTTAAGGCCGTTGAAGTCAACCCTCTTATAGCACTAAACCTTGTACAGTAGTTTGTTAGCAACAAAGGGCCTCTTGAGATGAAAATGAGCGGAGAGCGGCCGGCAATCAGCCACAGGCTCAAGTTTAGTCAACACAAGTAATAACTGCACAATATGAAGCCTATTGTATATCATTTGCAAGCTCATAATGCATTGTCCTGCTGTTGCTTTTGCAGAAGTCCCAGAAACAGAAATCACTGATAGTACATAAAACATTTATTATTAGTCTTAGTCTAGCCACACATTCCAGCAATCTTCAAAGAGAGTTTGGAAATTGGAATTATATGGTAGGCTATCTATCAGAAAATTCACTACTCAAATTGTTCTTGATAACTCAGCAAAAGTAAACTAACTCTTCTCATGGTGCATTATATTCAAATAGCACTGTAATCCCTGACTTTGCCACTGCTATTTTTTTGTATTTGTTACTGCTATACGCTGCCTAATGTGTATTATTTAATCAATGTAAGTGAATGAGTGTCTTTTTAATTTTAGGCTTTAACTATTTGTATATATTTTGTTTTACTTGAACATAAATTAAACCCGCCGTTAACTTTAACAGAGTGCTGTCTATACAATCCACCCATCATTGGTGTCGCACAAGGGCTGGAGCTGATCCCATCTGTCATTGGGCACGCAGTGAGAAAAACGCTGGACTGGTTGTCAGCCAATCACAGGACTGTCATACAGCGAAAGACCAGCAGCCACACACGCCTGAAACGGAGTCACAAGTTGCTCCGTTTCAAATACGCTGCAAGTCTATTTTCGACGGAGTTATGTGGTCTAACAAAACACCAACATCTTTGAAGCTTGTGTTAACCACAGACCTTATTTCAGGTGTCTAACCACAAACACATTCAAAATCCACGTTGACTTTTAGACGTTAGACCCCATGGCGCTCAAATGCTAACTTACTTCAGGGTGTTAGGACTCATTCCTGTGGTGCTCTATATCAGCAGGCCGATCAATTGGTTGGGCTCTATACATAACTCAGTCTATTTGGTCTCAAAACAACCACAAAGCTGCACTTCATAGGGCAGTACTTAGATGATTGTTTATTTTCTTGATCAGTTTAATTGTACTTTTTGTCGATGTATTAATTGTCAAAGAATAAATAAGACTAAGGATGTTCAAGAGGTTATTGGGTGAAAATAACTTTTTTTGTGTAGCTCTTGTTAATACTGTCAAACTGTTTAAAATATATTGCCCAAATAATAATTATTTCCTTTAGTTCTTTTGTATATGTCTTAAGTTTTTTTTATTCCTCATATGATTTCTATATTTGTCTGAGGTCTGCTCTTGGTGCCTATAATTCTATTTTGACTGATTTATTTATCCAGTTTTTTTGTGTGTGTTTTTTTAAAAAGCTTTGAGCTATCAGAATGTGTTACATAATCTTTATTTCATTTCCTTACTTATGTCGTTAGTTTCCTTATTTTCACTTGAAACACAGAGCTCCACATCTTTGAAAGTTGTCTTTCTTGTTGCCTTACCTCCCTCTCTGGTGACTATGTGCTTAAGGTTGACAATATCCAGGATAGCATCCAGGTCCTTGTCACTGAGGCCTCTGGCAGACATGTCCTCCACAGAGTCTGGGTAGATCACCTGGTCCCGCAGTGAACCTATGGACATGTACGGCCTAGAGAAGCACACATACACATCAAGCACATTAAAGTGGCACTCTGTTAACTGCTCATTTCATGAAGTACTCTGGAAGTAAAAAATACAAATCTGACAGAGAAGAAGTGTGTGTGTACAAAGGAGAAAAACACATGCTTAAAGAGTAGGACATTAAGCCTCTATTCTGGCTAATGAACAATGCATTGGATTCTGTTACAGCTGACAGGTGGCTGTGTCATCATATGTATAAAATATTCACCACTCTGTCGGAGGGAATCAGCTGAGTCTGCACCCCTAGACAGCCCTGGGTAAGATTACAATGGATGGTCTTACTCATTCTGTGCGTTTCTGTTCAGTTAATGGACTGAAGTCTGATACTGATACAAGTACTCTATACTTGTATATGTGTAATGACAATAAAGTTGAATCTCATCTCATCTCATATCTAGTGCTTTGATTTCCTAAAGCAACACTTTGGAAAGCTTAAGAGAGCTTTAATCCTTAAGCATCCTTCTTACATTTCACTGCACATCTGTATGAGCATGTGACAAATAAAAAAAATCTTGAATCTTAAATAGAGAGTTAAGAGAAAAAAAAGATTTATTTTTGGGCTTTTTGTGCCTTTAATGGAGAGCTAGGACAGTGGATAGAGTCAGATATCTGGGAGAGAGAGAGAGAGTGGGGAATGACATGCGGGAAAGAAGCCACAGGCTGGATTCGAACCTGGGCCGCCCGCTTTTGAGGACAACAGCCTCCACACATGGGGCGCACACAACACAACATAGAGAGTTATTATGATTAACTAAAGCAAAAGACGCAGTTTGGGGACGCATGGGTTATTTCTATCAGAGCTCCCTCTCCCATGATTCCATCCATCCATCGCAAACTATGACAAAAAGTTAAAAAAACAAACATCTATGATTGTGTTGGTTGTGGTCTTAAAACCTAACTTTCAGGCATTTTTAGAAATCATCCAGCAGAATAATAAAGACTTGGGTAAATCAGTGTACTTCTTGTGATGAAAGATACAACAGAAAACTCAAAGTACTTGGTCTTCTTCAATTCTCTGATTTTTTGAAATTTTCAAAATCCAAAACAAAAAATGCCAAACAGAATTTACATATTTAGACACTTCAAATCCATAATTACCCCTTTACCTTTTCTGAAGATTATTTACTTTTTAATAGAAATATATTAATAGAAATAACAGGAGCAAAATGTACTGTTTCATACTGACACATTTAGAAGTGACACAAAATACAGCAAGCGGTATTCTGTGATTGTGTTGGTTGTGGTCTTTAAAACTAACTTTACGGCATTTTTAGAAATCATCCAGCAGAATAATAAAGCATCTAATGTAACTGAAAGTGTCTCAACCCTTGGAGTCTTGGTTGGTAAATATTTTACTGTGGTCAAGGCTCTGGTTTCCGTCTATCTGTCCCACACACACTCAGCTCCTGTTACAATGGATTGTATTACTGAGAGGGTGCAACAATGAAACCCTTTGGAATAAGTAATGTGTGATGTTTGTGTGTATACCTCTGAGGGATGTAGAACATGTGTTGAGGAGAGGGTTTGTGGAGTTGGCCGCTGTACACAGGCCACAAGCCGCTGAGGATCCTGAACAGAGAGCTTTTCCCACAGCCATTAGGCCCAGTGATGAGTAGATGCATGCCCTCTTCTACCTGAAATAGAGAGAACATGCATTAACCCTCCTTTGATCCAACCCTTACTATAATCACATACTGTCATTAAGATATAAGCCCTGAATAGATAGAAAGCATCAATGGGCATTCAGCTTAAGCTAAGCAGCATTTGACTGGTATTACACACATGAAATCCAACATGATCACACAGGAATTCTCCTGGAAGAGCCTTTGCTTTTTTTAAAGAATATGTGGAATTTTTGTTGTCCATTCTTGGTGTCTGAGCAACAGCTACACTCAAACTTAGAGGCGTCACTAAATCTCTTTTCTTTTTGGTTCAGACGAAGTCAAAATTTAAAAAAAAGGGCAAGAATGTAAGGAAGGGAAGAAAGAAATAATTGCTGTTCTGACAACAGTGAAACACATCCACATCTGTCATAAAAACTGCAAATTTAAGAACGGCACTTTCCCTATAATGTATCTTTTAATCCAAATCAGTGTTAAACAAGTTAAATGTCACACTTAAAAAAAAGTAAAGGTGTTTTTTTTTTGGGGGTGGCAGCTGGTGCCCCATGATCTATTTATATTTTATGTTTAATATTATATATTATGATGTTTAACAAACTCATGTGAACACACTGTAACAGTTTAAGTGTAATAATTACACAGTGTCAAAAGGAAGAACTAGCTGAACTATTGGTGCATAATTACACTTACAAAGTAGTGAAATTGTTGGTGTAGACAGAGCGTCAACATCTACTAACTCAGTGGCAGTGAGTCTATTGACCTTAAATCAATGTTTCACTGAAGTCGGTCAGCATGAACTGTGGGAGCTTTAAAATATCAACAAATGTTCTGTTGATATTTCTCTATTAATGCATCTTAGCAAAAAGGTAATAGAGGGGCTTAACACGTAGTTGAGATCCAAAAAACTCTCAATGTCCCTGTACTTTTGCAAACTTCAGCTCAAAGACACATTGCTCTGGCAACAGTTTGAAGGCAACTTTAAATCCAGCTTCCAGGCAAGTGTCAAATGATCAACAACAACAGCAGGACAACACAATGATCCAATTTAAAGAATATGACACCGGCATCAGAAACCTCCCTCTGAGGCTTTAGAGTCAATTAAACAGAACATGCAGTCAATTGCAACATGCAAAAATGAACTTTGCCAATTTTCCAACCATGAGGCTCATGAGAGATGGGGCATAAAATGTATCATCCTTATGACATTGGAAATGTTGGAGAAGTGATATTTAACTCTTTGTCAGCATTATCAATAATTTCAAGAATGTTTACAACTCATTCCAGTAGCCAGCAGTGTGAGGGGTACAACACCATGACACCCAAAGGATGTATCTGTTTCATAATGAGATCACAAAGGATGTTTTCAGAAATGCAACAAATGGAACATAAAGACCCCCAGGGCGGCTGATGGTGAACATTGGACATGGTATGCAAACAAATATATAAGTTAGCATTGATGGGTAATATTGAGGGGAATGTGATGCTGTGAAAGAAATCAAAAGGATATTGTGGGGCTTTTGATTTTTACTGAAATATAATACAGACAATCAAAGGACAAAAGAGCAGGGCAGTCTTACCTTAAAATTCAGGCAAGACACTACCACGTCCCCATTAGGTGTTATTATTGGAACATTCTCACACACAATTCCATTTTCTACATCTATCACTTCACCTGAGAAAACAAAAGAGAGAAAGACCACCACTACAGTGTCAAATATGAGATAGTGAGGACAAGGCTGTGTTTAGGCTTGAGCATGGATATGGATGAGATAAAAACCTACATGGCAGGATTTATGGGGTTAAAAAATACCTGCGCTTATCTATAAGCTTAAAGCTGATTTCTAGCAGAAGAATTTCTTCATGGGTCAAAATAACAGGTACATAAGTTATCTAATCAACAAGATCAACTTTTTTTCTTGAAATATGATGTATTGCAAAATGCAAAAAAACGCAAACTTTGACAGGAGAACACAGAGATCTAAGGGTGTAACTGAAGCCATCTCCTGTTAAAGGTTTTATATGTGATTTTTAACACTTATAAATCAATATAAATCAAGTCTATCCTCTGAAAATAACTCTGTGAGTCATGACTGTCTACAATGGGTGTAACACTCGAGTCCCACTGTCTGTGATGTTTTCAGAGTTTTCAGAGTCCTATCTTCAGTTTGTTTACATCGCCTGGACGGCCGGCTGACTCCTCCCCTTGTGTATAAAAGTAGTTTAATTGAGGGACTAGAGAAAAGAAGAATAACATACTGTACTCACTGCTTAACTGTGTTTCTAGATCACGCTCATTTCAGGTAAATTTACATGCATTGTGAAGATACGAGCATAATAAAGATCACTAGCATTAGCATGCTAACACAACAATGCAGTACAAGTTGTTTTGGTTTCACGCTGGTGCTCAAGGGCGACATCTGCTGGATCAAAAAAAACACATATAAAGCCTTTAAAGAGCTTTCTTAGGAACTTCCACCAAGATATCTAAAAGAGACTATAGAATAGTAGGCTGGTGACTGCTGTTGTCCTCTTTTGTTTATTTGAATTAAATGGGAGGTATACACGTGTGTACAAAACAACAGGGTACCCTGTATCTCCAGCGGTCCGTCTATGTGCATCTCAGGCTTGCTCTTCTTCTCGGCTCCTGTTGTGGCTGATAGAGAAGAGCGCTTGTAGACGCCCCTCTGGACATCCTCAAACACCAAAAACATGTTGTGAACCCGTGCAGTGTAACCTGCCAGCTCTGTGACCTAATACAAACACACAGGGGTCAAAGGTCATTACTAGGTAAAGACAGAGGAATGTCATCTCACTTAAAAACAACCTCTCAAAAAATGTCAAGTATTGAGTCACATGTTTACAGCTGAGCACTACTTGTTGTGATTGAGAGTTTGTGTAAACTAGTAAATGGTAAATGGACTTGAGCTTGTATAGACTCTAGTCTTCTACTACTCTAAGTGTTTTTTTACACTGCATGTCACACCTACATATTCACACACTGATGGTAGAGGCTGCTGTGTAGTGAGACCATCAGAAGTAACTAATCCCATTCATACACATTCATACGCGGCTGACGAAGCAGTGGGAGCAATTTGGGATTAAGTGTCTTGCCCAAGGACACATCGGATATGACTCATAGATGGTTCTATTTTAATCCTAAATGTTGTGTTTTGTAAATTGTACTTTGTCTCTCTTTGTATTTCCGTCTGTAACTTTATGTTTTTGCTGCTGTCTGTCTTGGCCAGGTCTCCCTTGAAAAATGGGTTTTAATCTCAATGGGACCAACCTGATTAAATAAAGGTTAAATAAAAAAATACAAATCAGACATGTTGCTGCAGGAGCTGGGGATCAAACCCCCATCCTGCCGGTTGAGAGGTGATCGACTTTACCAACCGAGCCCCAGCTGCCCACAAATGTTAAGCAGAGAGGTCTTGATTATTGGCAAAAAGAAATGGATTGAAATAGCTTACATTGTTCTTAAATGTATCTCAGGGTAATGCCTGTTTGGTTTCTGTGTTGAAGACGTCCCCAATATCACAGATGTGATTTAGATAAAGGCTGTTCTCAATGTGTTTAAATAAAGAATCTCCTTCTTAATGTTGCGTATTTGATTGCATTCTTGATAAAGTGTTTTGCCTTTTAAGATATTTCAGTTAATGTTTTAACATTAACGAAGTACCTCGTCATCTCTCTCTCTCTTTTCCCACAAGTTGTGATTGATTGTGACACAACAAAATGATGTGACACGACATTGGGACAAAATTAATCAAGATAGAAAAGGACAGGAGAGTAAAACAAAGGAATACCTCTCACATATCACATAAAAAAAAGGACAAATGAGGATAAACCACAGGGGAAAGTTCCCTCTTTTATCCCCCTCTTGCACCCTGCAGCGAGACGATGCAGGGTGTTGACACAGCTTGATTGTACAAAACAAGCATCACCATTTCTGGGAATTCCACATCATCACTTCAAGAGCTTAGGCAGCATGTTGCAGAACTGTATAAGGATCAGTAAACATAAAACATGATCATCCCATTGACAGGAATAGAGATTTGAAAAACCTGTAGCCTTTAGTGAACACCTACAACCATCAGAATTACTACTTGATCTATGGCTCTGCTTCATTTTATTAAACAAATAGGTGAGTCAGCACTGACTACTAAGGTTTTTAGATGTCCTATTGTAAACATTAAACATAGGAATAATAGAAACAGACTTTGAATGAATGGAAGTATCTGTACAATAGGGTTAAAATGATGGGAGAAAATACATTTGTAAACTCTTTCGATTCAATCAAGTACATGCATCTGACAAGACTAGGAACTCTGAAACTTTGCTGGCAAATAAAGACTTTGAGATTAGGTTAGCTTTTGAAAAGTTTGACTGGTTTATAAATCACATGGCCTCGTGCCAAAGTGGAAACTTCACAGTATGTCTGCGCTCTTATCTCAAACATGCACATACAACAATAAGTATGGTAGCTAACCTCAAGGGTAATTGTTTATTGTTGCTTAGTAACACTGTCCACTGCTCTTTCACTTTTAAGTCTTCTCTTTCCCTCGATGTTGTGGTCATGCTCAGAAAGTTTGGACGATATTATCAAGATCTCTTTATTCCAAATATCAAACATGTTTGAGACAATATGTGTAGAATTATTAAGATCAGAGTACAAACCATCAAACAACTAAAGTTAAAGCTGCCTTAAATACAAGTGCCATTGCCCCTCAGAGGTTCTTTGGTATGGTGGCCCTTAGAGCTCAATTCAATGCTGTTTAAGAAAACAATTTGCAAACACAAAGTTCCTCTCTAGATAGAGATATTGTGTATTTGCATGTATTTGGCACATTTTGTCTGTATTAGAAAACTGTGTTTGTTTTGCCAAATTTGTGGAGATTTTGTATTTTTATGCAGAATTACTAAACATTTCTTCAAATGGACCAGTTTGACCAGCCTGGTGGTTTTTAAATGCTTTGCTTTAACCGGTGTAATGAAAGCTATGAATGATGTGTGAGATACATTAAAGGAGAAGTAGCACTACTACAATGACCTATTGTTATTATATATATATATTAAGAGATACAAAAGGTGCTAAGTTGAAGTATATCTGCTGTTGTTCCTGGGCATATATGAAAAGAAACACAGAATACTTGTTCTACAACATGATGTTGAGTGCATGTCTGAGAAAAAAGAGAGAGAGGGAAAGTGAGAGATACAGAACTGCTGCTGGTAAAATCAACAGATGGAGGATTATTCACAGCTAGGATAAACCCCGAGGGAAGGAGTTCTGAACACACACACACACACACACACACACACACACACACACACACACACACACACACACACACACACACACACACACACACACACACACACACACACACACACACACACACACACACACACACACACACACACACACACACACACACACACACACACACACACACACACACCAGGATTCACTGCTGGCTGACCTACAGTATGGTTTCTGTGTTCATTTGCCCCCATGATTAGATCTCATAGAGCCATCAGATAACCCTCTGCTCTGTTGTGTTGTCAAATCAGAAACTAATGAAAATGGAAAAAAATAGAATCATTAAAAATGGTCATACATAACAGCTTTTTATCTAGCCATCTTAAAAAGTTTAAATGTAGTTACAAATGTAAAACATTTTCAAAAGTTAGCTCCTCCCCTTTTCCAGACTTCCATAGGTGCTCTTTGGCAGAATAATAAGTGATATTTTTGGCAGCACAATAACGATGATAAAGTGATTGTGCGATATATCTGCAGATAACCCATTGGATTACGCAGTTAAAATTATTTGGAGCACTTTTATAGAAAGATGTATTTAGCTATAGAAATAGATAAGAAAGCGTCAATAAAACAGTTAAAGGAGTGGCCCAAAACTGGATAACACAGGCATTCTAAAAACAAATGAAGTTGAGCAACAAACACCAGCTGTGACACGTCATAAGGTTTAAACACACACACAGGCACACACACATGCACACTGACATAAACAAACAAACACACTGTACACCATAACATTAAATGGGCAGAGCTTCTAGAGGCGTGAGCAGGGCACACTGCCTGAGGAATGTCCCTGTTTCATTGCACACACACTCACACACCTCTCTGCCTTGCATGCAGTGGCTTGCTGCTGTATGCAAGCGCTGTGAAGATTGAGGGCTGGAACTTGTATCCTACAGGAGAGTTATTCTGAGCCAAAGAACTGGAGTGAAATCTTAACAATCCTCTGTGCCAAAGATGGTGCCCTTAGGCCTCCTGTTTCAAATGTTCTTCTGAAGATGTACTGTATGTGAGACTTTTTATGAATACTTCTAAAATCTTTTCAGAATCATAATCAGAATTTATTGCCAAGTACATTTACACATACAAGTTATTGTTATTGGTTGTGCATGTCCTTGTGGGTTCAGTGGTACAATAGGACATTTTCGAGAAGAGATGACTCACGCTTAGAGAACGAGGCAACCTACTCACACGTTTATCAGAGAAACAATTTGCACTCCTCACTACAGCACTGCAGGCTGTAGAAATCTTGCCTGAAGACAAGTATCACACATGCAGACAACATGCTATGGGAGTTCACCTGACCCTTGTTCAAACACACTTTGTGTGGACATTATGATTTAAAGTAGATGAACCAGCTGTATTGTGATACAGCTTTACCACAACCACGCTGCAGCCAAATCCTCTTACAGGCCTCGAAATGAAGGGTGAGAGAGAGAGAATGCATGAATGGGTCTGGCTATTTCTTTTTCTTCTATTGGATTAAAATGCAACGAGAGATCAGGGATTTGGCCCTCAATGAACAAGGCCTTTCATTCAGTGATTTCTTTCTTTGCTTTTTAAGTCAGGACTAAAAACTGCTGAGCATGCATGGTGAGCTTTTCATGGGGAAGTATTGAAAGATTCATCTACTTCACAGTCTGCGTCTGCCAATCATCCAGTGGATCTGTGCACTGTACTTCTACATTTAAATCTCGACCGTTGAAAGGCATGATCAAACATGCTAGTGCATCATATGTGGATGTGTAAAAGTGGAGCCTGAAATGTATATTCTAGTAAAAGAGCGATGTGTACAAAGTGCCAAACCGAAGTTTCAGGGGGGGAACACTAGTGTTGTCAATGTTAACACCAACATCTCATAAACTCTGTATGTATTAGTGATAAACTGAGCAAAGCTATACAACATTTACAGCTGTCATGTCACACCTAGAACATGTATTAGAATAAAGCTGTAAAAGAGGGTTTGTCTTCATAGCACAGATCATTAGTAGGAAAGAAGAATGTCACTCCACTGTCATCAAATTGTTCCAGGTTTAAAGAAGGGAAAAATGGACTGTTACATATTTCATTAAAAATGAAGGAACCAGTAGATGCAGAGGAATAGAGATAGTGTTTATTTTTTTATTTTTTGTTAAGTTCTCTACTGTGAGGGGCCCGGGTAAGACCATTAAAAAATAAGACGTTTTTTTTTTACTGATGCCAACATAAACATGGGCACCAACAAACACTATATGACAGTTGACACTTTAGCATCACACTCATATGAGCTTTTTAAACATCCCATTATAGAGCTGTGGACATTAACATGGGATTAGATCCTCTTTGCCACTTCAACAGCTGCCACTCTCCTGGACAGGCTTTCATAACACTTTATGGAGTATGTCTGTGGGAATTTCTGCTCATTCAGCCAAAGGCACATTTGTAAGGTCAGGCACTGCTATTGAAAGAGAGGGAGCGGCACGCAACGCACATTCTAATTCTTCCCAGAGGTGTTCAATGGGGTTAAGGTCAGGGCTCGGTGCAGTCCGCTGGTATTTCTATATCAAACTCTTCTAATGCCGTCTTTGTGTACCTCACATCTATTTATCTATCTATCTATCTATCTATCTATCTATCTATCTGTATAGGGTTGGGCTGGTAAATATATTGAGTTTTTTAGATATATCGATATATTTTCAAAGAAGATATAGAGTAAGACAATATCGTTAATATGGATCTAGTTTATGTTGCATTAAAATAACGTTACAGGGGTACCAGTTCACTGATGATGACTGACTGTCTGTCCCTCTTAACCCTGCTCCTCCTCTCTCTCTCTTTTATTGTATTTAAGGAACATTTATTTTATAATATTACTTTTTCAATTCACAAACAGGTAGTTTATTTTTCTTGTTTTTTCACTGTTAATAAAATACATATCGATATATATCGAGTATCGCCATTCAGCTAAACAATATAGAGATATGAGTTTAGGTCTATATCGCCCAGCCCTAGTATAGGGGCTGTAATACAATATGAAATTGCATACTGGCACATTAGGAATCAATGTATAAACACAAAAGCCTAATGACAGTTAAAGTGCTGTTGCAGAATCACATTCTAAAAATACATTCATGTCCTGCTTGTTTCCCCATTTACACACACATACAACTTGACTCAGCTACTCTCTAAGCTCCCACTTTAGTGGCAAAGTTGCATTGCCTTCTTTTTTTCATCTTTATAACTTTTATACATAAAGGCAAGGAGGAGTAATGGGGTAATGATTCTTTCAGGCATACTCCAAATAAACTCAAGCAGTTATTAATGCAGTTCCCTCACCTCTTTATAGGACGACATGATTCTCTCGATAGCATCAGCTCCTGAAGCCAACAGGTTACGGGCGGTAGTGAAAGCCTCTGTCCTCTCACTCACCATCACGTGTGTGTGCCCGTCTGCTGTTTCTAAGGTTTTGGGAAAAAGACAAGAAAGACAAACGAGTGCAAGACATCTGATTTAAAGAAATTGTAATCCTGCATGCTTTACTCCAGCATAAAAACTGAACAGTCTTTAGGTGAGTGTATCTGTGCTGTGATCTCACACTGGTATATGTGGAAATTATAATAACATGGAAATAAGTTATTTAAATATCAGGAGTGACAATGGCATGCTAGTAGTGCTCAGCACAAGGATCTTTATTTTTGATGCAACTGAAATGTCATCAGGGAGGCGTTGGAGGCAGCTAATCACAGTTGCTCATCAGCTTGAGGAGGAAGTATTGGTTTTGGAAGTGTTAATGTGCAGCGAGAAATCTGCTCATACCTCAGAGAGAAACTTTGACACTAGCACTGTGCTGTTTGCTACAAACCCTCAAACAATATGATACAGTAAGACGTGCTAAGTGTTATTATATCCAAGATATATTTGTATTGTATTCTTCCAAATATATAAATAGCCACTTTACCATTGTCAGCAAAGCCTGTTGCTGTTATGATTGGCACAGCCACCATGACGAGCCCACTGCTGCTCCACACATACTTCATGAGAAACTGCTCTATCATGATGTACCAGAGACGCTTGGACAGGATCAGGTTCATCTGGTCTGCCAGAGCCCGGTAACACTTCTGCAGCTGACGCATCTCCACCTGCCAAGGACAGCGTATTATGATACAATGCAACCCATGAGTAACTGCAGCACTGTACATTTAGTCCATCCAACCTTGAATCTGTTCTGATTTCTTGAATGAAAATAAACTTTTCTCTGTGGATTTTACCCAATGTTTCACTGATAAGACTATGCAATACAACCAAAGGGTTGATTTATTGATTCCCCTATAGTGGCCTATAATATCTGAAAACCAATACTTGTTAGTGCTTGTTTTCAGTCAGGGTTAGTTGTCTTCTAGTTTCTTCTTTTTACCTCAAGAAATAGGGAATGTTACACAGAGTAAAATTGTCATGCTTTTTTTATTCAAACTATCAAACACTCTATATATGATTTATAAATGAAGAATGAAAATGTACTTTTTGACACATGTCGTCATACAGCCCTGCATACCTTATGTCCCCTGTAGAAAGCTATTTCCTCAGCGTTGGCAATGATCCTGGAGTGCACATAGCGCAGATAACCTTTCCTGTGAGCCTCCTCGGCCACCAGCTTGCCAAATTTTGGCGAGCAGGCTCGCAGGACCTTAGCTGTGACAAAGACCACCAGCCCAGCCAGCAGGGTCGGCCCGGTGGCGTTGGCCCCTCTGGACCTGGCGGTCTGTATCAACGTGTAGGAGGTCAGCATCACGTCCAGAATGGGCTTTGTGAGGTTAGAATAGAGGTGGGCCACCGACTGGGAAAACATCATGACATCTTCAGTGAGAGACTGGTCTGGGTTGGCGAGCCTCCCGTCCATGTTGCTCACTTTGTAGTAGGTCTGATCGGTGAAGTAGGTCCGGTAGGCATGGTTTACTAACCGGGTGCGAAAGGCAAGAGCTAGTTTGCACTCTAAGTACCGGATGGCGCTGTTGACGAATGTGGCCGGGATGGCGATGAGGAGCCATTTGATCAGCTGAAGGATGAAGCGCTTGGGTCTTTTTTCAACGATCGTTTTTACAATCTTACCGTCAAGGCTGGCCACGTAAATAGACAGAAATGTCCTGGATATCAGAGCAACCGAGTGCAGAGAGAGTAAACCGAGCTCTTTGGAAACAAGCTTTGGGAATAGGATTTTACCAAGTTCGAGTATCTGCTTGAAAAATTCTGCATTTACACCAGGCGATGTCTTCTTATGATTCGCAGCACCATTCGATGTTTTTATCAAACAGGTGGATCCATTTTCCGCCTTTGAAATCCGTCCATTGTTCCTGGGATCTTTGTTTTTGCTGAGTTGCTTCCAGATGATGGGGTACAGTGTTTTGACACCGTAGGCAGCAGCCGCAAGAAACACGGCTCGCTTGGCCGCAGTCGTACGGTCCCATCTCACTTTGGACGCTGCATCGAGGATGTTGGACATTTTCTTAATGTTTGTCGTCTCTGCTGATAATGCCTACTACAGCCATCTCTCAACCTCCAATGCAATCGACGCCCGTCGACATTAAAAGCAAGGACTTCTGTCGGTTTGATTGATGTGAAGCGAGTCCGATAGCCTACATGTACCGCTACATCCTGCTTCTTTTTTGTACCAGTGTCAAAGAGGCTACTCTACATTAACAACACTTCCGGTTAGATTTTTCAAAATAAAACTATCAAGCCCACCATCCTCTGCAAAACACGATAACCGTAAACCTTTCAGGGCAGTTTGTGGTTTTATTTTGAAATTTTTGATCGCGTAACGTCTGACTCATTTCCGCCTACCACTAACTTGACTCTACTTATTTCCGCCTGACGTTAGTGGCTGTTTCATTGGTCGCACCCCCGGCGAAACCTACCAGACCTATTTACAGTCTGATAGCGTGACGGACGTCCAGTAACACAGTTCGGTTTATGTATCAGTGTGATATGTTTAATACATAGTGAACTATTTTGATTTAAAAATGGTTTAAATATATACATTTAAAAGCTGCGTCTTTAACACAAACTGTATCGACATATTTGACACGTTTTTATTATTTCATTTTTATTTGATTTAGATTTTAAGAGGGCGCGTGAAAGGAGTTGTTCCCGCGCATCTCTACATTTAGGTAGTGAATGTTAGAAAGTAAACAGCTAAGTGTTAAGCTAGGTATCTAGTTTATCTGTGTATCCTTTACAGTCTGTGTGTATCTTACTCTGACTCAGTTTATATTCTCTGAAAGTTAACGGTACAGCCGTTGAAAATGAACTGGGTCGGGGGCACAAGGTAAGAGGGGAGGTAATTACTGTAGTTAATAAACTATAGCATAGTTATTAGTTATAAGCTAATGTTAGCTAAACTAGATAACATTAACATACTGATTCATTGCAGAAATCGGTTAGTGATGAAAAATGATGCAAAAAAGCAGAGGGTAAGACAGCCTATTATATTCCATGGTACTTTACATTAATGACTATCTTCTTTGCGTGTGTAGAAGCTAAGTGTGCTGGTGTTAACTCTTCTTCCAGGAATTCTTTGAAAGGAGAAAAATGCAACAGAAACTGAAAAACTTGGGTATTGCTCTGCCATCATCACCTCGAGGCACCACCTCTGGTAGTATGGACCTTGTGACTCTGTTTATCGTCAACCAGATTGCTGCTAAGAAAGAAAATAAAGGTGATTAGTCAAGTTTGAGCATTGTAAAAAGGTAATAAGATACAACTGTCACCAAGGTTATAAAAAAATATTGATTGAAGAAAGGAAAAACATCATAATAAACAAGAAAATTGTTTTTGTTGTTCAGAATTGCTCGTGTTCATAAAGACCTCAGTATGACAAAATATATTGTTCATGTGTTTCAGATCCTCCTAAAGTGGCAGTTTTTGGCAGCCATAAAGGAGGATCTAAGCATAAGAGGAATGAAACTCTGGTACTTCCAATGAGTCCCTGCTCGCCATCACAGCTGGATCTTGTTGAGAGCCAGTCTCAGTTTAGGTACAGTTGGCTTGTGGTTTCTAATTAAGCAACTTCAGTCATAACCAGAATATTGACTATACACTGAAGCAGTTGAAAGTGATAGAAGCCTATGTCTTAAAGATTCATTCACTTTTTGGCTTGAAAAATCATAATCACGCAACCCTAACATTACCCATAAACTCCTTGATTACCCCTGAATACAAATAATAATATTATACAATATTATATAGTACAAACTTGCAACATTTATTCAATTTATTATTTGCCAATGTCTAGCATTCAAGGAACAAGAAAAGGAAAGAATATTATCCCACAAGGATTCAAAAGTCGACAGGTAAATCACCTTAAAGCTACTTATATTCACCTTTTTTTCTTCAAAACATTTCTTGTCTATGGAACATTTGGTGAACGGTTAGGCTTTATATAAGAAGTGGACGTTTCCATAGTGACCACACCTGGTCATTTTTGGACTATTTCGTTGAATCTTAGTCCGCAATCCCATTTATGGCTACCAAAATCTATAACTTTGTGGGGCCAAGGCAGGACTGCTCCACCCCCAGCCTTATTGATAAGTTACTGTGGCAGCACCTTGCCTATAGCCTTGTCTATTGCAGGTAGCTTTGCCCCTCAGTTAATGCTTCTTTATTGTCTGTTTTCATCTAAATGGGACTGTAATTTACAAAATGAACACTATGCTGTATTGAATAAGGCTTCTAACTTGCAAGAGACCATCATCTTATCAAGAAAATGTTAACTGTGATAAAAAATCAAGTGAGGAGTTGGGTCATTTTCTCATTTGGTTCCATACAATTGGACTCTTTTTGAAACCACTGAAGTCACTTCTGAATCAGCTGAAACTAGAGGCTACATCAACTCTTTTGAGCAGTTTATGGTTAGGACCCTTTTGCTCACTTTCTTTTTACCCCTCTAGCTGTCACCAGTGCTGGAGTCAGCTTTCTCAGACAACAGTGCATCTGACTACCTGCCACCCACAACTGACCCCCGCAGCCCATTCTCCTCCATCTCATCAGCTTCCTCAAGTCAATATTGTGTTGCAAAGTTCTATATACATCAAACTCCTGAATTATTTTTACAACGGTAACTTGACATTTTTTTGTTGAACAATCAGAACATTTAGGCCGATCCACCATTGTTTCCCCAGGAATGTTCTCCCTGCAACAGGGAAAAAAGACACAGACACAGTTACCTCTGCACTATTCTTCTCTGGCCTGGGACACCTCAACACTGGAGCAGACCAAGGTAGGGTAAAGAAAATTAACTTTTGTTAAAAAATGGTTTTACGTTTATACAACCATAATAGGCAATTGTAAATATGACACAGGCAAACTATAACTGGACTTCACATGCAGCTTCACAGGCTTTTTTTCTGACAGCTCAGCGGGTACAGCCAGTGACATGAGGAACAAGAATCCATTGAAAGTTTCTTGTTTGCTAGCATTGTCTCTTCAAATGCAATACTGCATTGTTTAGGGTAAAAAATGGACCATAACATGATATGAAATGTTTAACCGTTGAAGCGGTAGCTCACAGTGGGTGTGATTAGCCTTGTTAAAGACACTTAATATTGGTGTGGCACGATCACAGACTGTCATACCTCAATCATCGCTGAAAATGTCCTGGAAAAGTCCTGGAAAATGATCTCTGGAAAAGACTTGGAACCCTGGGGTGCTGAATGAGTATATTATCCACTGGCTAATATCACAAACTAAAATAAATCTATTTGACCAATGTATCCTGTTGATGGGAACTATCTGTGAACTTTTACATTGTCTTTTAAAAAATATATAATTAGCATGATATTACATCTGAACTTATTTTGCAAGTTTCAGCCTTTCTCTCAAGCCAGAGGCATGATGGACAGTACCCCCTGGTCAAATAGATCAAACCCACCCCTCTACCAACTGGAGACACCAACAGCAGCTCAAACCCTGTTTGGAAACCCAGAGAACTAGTGAGGAAACCAGAAATGGAGGTATTTTTTTCTGTGGTTGAATTAAAAACTCTAAGCATATGCATGTCATCACAGTATCACAGAGGCCAAACACCCTGCAGAACACCAGGTCACCTTCTCTCTCCACCAACCAGAGGACACAGAGCCGGTGTTGGATTTCACTCTTCACCAGGCAGAGAGGGAACAGCAGTTTCAGGAAGATGTCTTTAGGGGCTTCAGCACTGAAGAATGTGGAGGAGATGGTGAATACTGCTTGCAACTTTTAAATAACCATAGTGACCTTTTTTATGATTAACAGCAAGTTTGATTTCAGTTTCTCATGTTGGGAGACGAAAGTCAAAGATCTATCTCAAAGATGAAACACCTGCCACATCTTCAACACCACAGTAGGTGTTTATACATGGAAATGCTTGAATATATTTTTATATTTTATATGTAATATGCTGTAATATGTTGTTTTTTAACTTCACTGTTAGAACTGTCCCTGACTCACCAGGCATGGAAGTAGAGGTAAGCTATTACAAACAGTACATGAGAGTGTGTGTGTGTGTTATCCTTCACTGACCACAGATCCGTAGAGTTTGTTTTTGTCATTGAATAAACATTGAATTAGAAATGAAGAATATACACCTCTAAGTAAATGATTAATAACATTTTAACTGTCGCACTAATCATCATGAGGTTTATTAAAGGGCATTATGTGCTTGTGATGTAAGGTTAATTTACAGGTCATTTTGTTGTATTTACAGCTCTCCAACTGCACAGACATGAACTGTTGTAAGTGTCTGACTCTGAAGCATCACTGATTAAGCTATTCATTTATTGTGTACATGCTGCAAAAATACAATAACATGAAGGGATGTTTTTCATTGTAACACAACAGCTTGTCTTCAACACAACTATGGTCCAATGAGTGGCTGTGACATGACACCAAGTTACCCTTGTGCAAAAGGTTACCTCAGTTCCGACTCAGATGATGTAAGTTTGAGATATTTTGCTGTTGTACTGTACTTGCAAACGTGAAATGTAAAAGTTTAGTTTTAATTTTGTTACACATAGTGTGTTGCTTTTAATAATTACAACACCCTGAACACATACATGTACACATTATGCTTCTAAACAAATGATCTCCCAATCAACAGTTGTCAGAAGTAGTTATTATTAAAAAATATGCACTGGAAGATGGGAAATGTTCATTTCACAGTACCATTGAGAAAATACTTTTCTCGTTAAACATTGGATCACCCTTGACAGATTGTCGACTTTGCAATAAAATACTTTGTTGACAATGAATACTTTGCCAAATATTAGCAACCACATTTTCCTTAAGCAATGTCCAATATTAAAATGTTAATTTGTTGTTTTCTTACTGTATTTTAGGATCGACAATGCTATCATTCTTGTCCCTCTGCTGTCTCTTCATATATGGACCAAGTCTGCTGTGAAGTTAGCCATAATTCAAACCTTGGCGTACAGGACAATGAACAACAAAGGCACATCCAATCAAGGCTTCCCACCCCACCCCTTAAACCCCAAATCAACCTCATAGATAATCAGGAAGTTATAGAGTACATGGCTGGCTCAGATAAAGGTGTGGGAAGTAACAGACAACATACAGGAAGTGGCACAGCTCAGTTTGAATCGGAGCTGTGCAAGTGCAAGAAAACATCCAATGAAACTCAAGATATGGGAACTCAAACTGATGACAAACCCAAGGCTGAAACATGTGATTCCTCCACTCAGTGCAGCTTGGTTTTACACAGTGCAACCAAAGCCACTGCACCTTTTGATCTGCCAGTAATGCATCCAGCCACAAGGAGGCAGACTCATACTACATCAGGGCCAAATACACAGGCAGTGTCAACAGGCAATGGAAGGAATGGAGGGAAGCACATGCCCTGGAACAACAAGAAATCCAGAGCCAGTTCCCTATCAGAAAACAAGATTATAAACAAATTCCCTGCTATCAACAGTGATGGAAAAGGGATCCCACAGAGACCCATAAACCCCTTTCTAGATGTGCTGAGCATGACTTATGGCAAAGGTATGACATAAAGTAATAAGAAATATTTAGTGTAATTCAAATGATGCAGAATCCTTTGACAAAGACAACACATCCTGGATATTTAGTTGAATTCTCATGTTCTCTCCTATTGTTACCGACTTAGGTGAGGAGAATAGAGAGGGCAAAGATGAGAGAGGGCAAGAAGAAAATGGCCGGCTGATGAAAGATCTGTCAAATGAAGTGAGGGAGGAGGTCACATGTGCCACAAAGGTAAACAGACTCGCAGAAGAGACCCAAACACTTCAGGAAATAGCCGACATTTTGCTCTTGCTCAAGCAGAGGAAAGATGAGTGACAGTCAGAAGGAAGGAATTAAAGCAAGGCAGATGGATGAAGGCAGAAGGAAACAAGCTGTTTCTGTATAGTTCTCTATTTAACATACTGTTGAAGTTCATCTTATGCATGTTTACCTCATAAACTATAGTGTGCTAATGTTTTGAATAGAGACTGAAATAAAGCCCCAAAGCGTTACTATGATTCATAAGTTTATTTCTTTCCCAATATACATATTCAAGTGTCATGAAGATTTCTTTTCTTTAGAATATAAAGTCTAGCAAAACATTTACAGCTGGAACATTAATCAAATATACTATACATCACTTTTTCTTTTGTAATTCCTGGTAAACAGTAGAAACACACATAGTTGATTCACATTGAAAAAAATTGCAACCTTTCACCATAAATACACATTTAATACTCCCTCTGCCGTAGAGAGGAGGAGTTACACAACTTGTTAACGGCTGAACAGCACATAATATATTAACAAAAAGCGGCCTGAAACAGCTATCCTAAATATTTGGCCAACACAACTGTCATTAGCACTATAGTGTTATGGAGATTTGTCTGCACGTGGTAACTGTAATCATACTTGAAGTATAAAAGTAATTTGTGTAGTGTTTACAAAGCTCACCCTGGATGGATCATTCTGACAGTGGAAACAATACCTTCAAACTTTGAATTGTCTTCAGCTAGTTTTATCAAGAATTAAACTAATCTCCAATTGGATGAAATGTAAACAGGCTCATTTTAGGACATTTCAAGACCGTTAAATCTTTGAAACTAAATACCATGAAGAAATGATGTGAATCTCTATGTCAATCATTTTCTTCTAATGGTATCAGACAAAGCTAAAAATATCAGCTTCTTATCTGAGAAGTTTATTTAACAATGGTATTATATCTCACCAGTTAATAATGGATTGAGACCAGTTTGCCTAATTTAAGAATCGTCCTTCACATCAGTGGTTCTCGACTGATGTATCCTCAGGACCCACCACTAACTGCTGACAAAAGCGTCCCCAAATTTAGGATATTTTTCAACCAATCAAAGTACTTAATGAAAAATTGTGCAGTTTTGTCCTTAGGTGGTACAAAACATGTGACGCAGAACGATGAAATGGAACGAAACAAACATGTTTAAAATCGATATTTAGACTTTGATAAAGTTTTTTTTCCAGGCACACCTTGGCAACCCACTGAAAAGGGTTCTGCTACCCACTTTTGGGTCCCGACCCACCAGTTGAGAACCACTGCAGTTTACATGATCTCTTAGAGAGAGACCTGTTCATTGGACACAGTTACAGCACCGCCTTATATACCTAATCTGTATTATTACACAAAGGTACTACGTAGTCTACTTTCAACAGTTTTTGCTACACAAAAACATTTGAATATCTGACCAAAAGATGTTACCTCACAAAGTTATACAAATTTACAAAACAACATTGCAAATTACCCTAAAGCTTACTCCTTGAAATGTTGACACAAAAAACCACATAGATATGCTTTGCTTTTTGTACATAAGGCTATGGAGGAAGACAAAAATCTAAAAACATGAAATCATAGTAAAAAAATAATATTTCATCACTTTTGAAGTTGCATTTATGTACATGTCAAATAAATAAAAAGCTATGTAGACCCACTTCTCTTAACATACATGACATACCATGACATAATACATCAACTTCAGGGATTTGGACTCAAAAACAGCCATTAGGCACCTTCACAATACACAGGCACTAATATTATAATCTTCAAGGTGTAATGAAATACTTAAAATACAAGTCTCAATCAGGAAAAAAATGCATTAGTCAGTTAGTCATTACATCCTACAGTATATCCTGCAATAACAACCACCAACCATGAGTGGTTCATGACATATAGAGGAGTCTGACATGGGTTCATGTTGCAGGTTTTGGCAACTGAGTGACACAAGAACACTCCATGGCATGAAGTTAAAAACTGACAAAGGGGTTAAAGATCTAACCCTGAGAAAGCTATGGTTTTGAGTTATTTGTTGCAAAAGTTATTATATAAATAACAATGTTTTAAATAGATGAATAATAAATAAACCAAAGCAACCAACCCTGTTTCTTTCAGTGCTACTAGATTGGTGAGTGGTTTTGCTTAGGCACCAACTAACATTTCTAGTTTTCTAAACTTGATCTATATACTGTACATCTCTGGTGTTTGCTTTCCATGAAGAAAGATCAGTGAGCACAAACTACGACTTTCATCAGATGAAGAGCTAACATTAGTGTGCTGTACTACTAGCAATATGAACATTTAAATGAGATGTATTTCTTATAGAAAGGCATAATGGTAGCTCAGATTAACCATAGTCACAACTTCTGTGGATGCTCAGACCTGGTTTTAAAGAGCACATGTAACAACGTTTTTGGATGGAGCTCTAAATGGAAACATATTCTGACATAATGCTAGGATGGCTGTGTCATCTTTCAGTTGTTGTAATTAATGTACAGAATCATTAAAAAATCCTGGTAGAGCATATTACCATCTGTGTTCAAGAGAGAGGGAAGTGTGGTGTATATTTGTGTTCAACAGTTATGTTTCCTGTTCGAGTGTCCACTAAGACAGTTATGTGTTGTTGAATGTAGATATTTGGTGTACACGGTTGACCAATGATGCAAAATATGGAGTCAGTTTATCCTCAATTTAAAGAATAGGCAAATCAAATATTCATACTCATTCTACTAGCTGATAAAAGCATTGTCATTGGATTTAGATTCCTGAATTGAAAGTGAACTCACTCACATTCCTGATACAAGCAAAAGGTCTTAAACACTGATTCTTTACCACTTAATAAGAGTGACCAGTGGTCTCTCTTATGCTTACATACAGAAGAGGAAAAATCAATCAGACAACACATTAGCATGTTTCAGTAATCACCAAAGTGAGTGAAACACCTAAAATTAAGTCTACTGATACGAAGCACACTCTAGTCTACATCAGAGGCGTCGTTGTCCGATAGATGGTAGTTTGAACCTTTGACTCTAATGTATTCAACCTGCCGTCCTTCGTCTGAATCTGAGGCACCGCAGGAACAAAGCTGGTTTTCAAACAGTGCTTCAATCTCCTCCAGACGGCGGCCTTTTGTCTCGGGCAGGCACCCGAATATGAAGAAGAAACCCAGCAAAGCCAAGCTGGAATAGAGGAAGAAAGCTCCTGGGGAGATGAAAAAAAGAGCATACTGTCACTAAGGACAGCCACCCACAAGCAAAAGAAACAAAGAGCTGCAGTTTTCAAGAGCAGTGTCACTTGTTATCTACAAGATCTGTAGTCACTTCTCCAGAGGAAACCAAACACTGGTGGTCACAGCAGATCCTGAGGGCAGCTTATATTGGATGTTGACTGCCCAATGAACTTCTATGGACAATTGTGCACTGGCAAATGGAATTGTTTTACCAAATTTAAGAAATACTTCCAAGCTGCTTGTCATCATATCTTAAATAGTAGTATGCTCCCTGTCAACATGGCATCACAGCAAGGTTAACAGGAGATGGCTCCCAGTTACTGCTCGCATCAAATTTAAAACTCTGCTGCTCGCTTACAAAACAATGACAAAAACATCTCCTTACTTTAACTCTCTGATCCAGGTCTACACTCCCTCCCCCCCACTACGCTCTGCCAATGAAAGACGTCTGATCCAACCTTCACAACAGGGTCCTAAGTCTCTGACTAGACTCTTCTCCTCTGTCGCCCCCCGGTGGTGGAATGAACTTCCAAACTCCATTGGATCTGCAGAGTCCCTCTGCACCTTTAAGAAAAAGCTAAAGACCCAGCTCTTTCATGAATACCTACTAACTTAATGATGATGGTCTCCATATTATTGATGATGATGATGATGGTAATGACGATGGTTTTTGCTTGATAATGACGACTTATAAGATGGTTTCTATACTGATTAGAGCTCTCAAGAACTGCCCTCAATGTTGTGCTTTGCCTCTGGTCACTTCCTGTCAGCACCTGTGTGTCCAATCAGACTCAAAGCTGATCGTTTGCTCTTACTGACATTGTTCCCTTTTTTCTACATCCTTGCTTGTGTTGTACTTACTCTCTGATGTACATCACTTTGGATAAAAACGTCTGCTAAGAGAATTGTAGAATTGTAGATGGATACACTCAGAGCAACTGAGAAGAATTCATACAGAAACATGCTCGACAGAGGTCTAATATTATTCCCTGACCTCCTGTTATCTCTGTTTGCTACTTGTCAAAGCAGTATGTTATTTTTAAAGCTACAGCCAAGTATGCATTACACTAACTACCATTACCTTTTCTTTGACATCATTATGTTTTTCATTGTTAGTGAATATGTTTTACACACTAGATGAAGGGAAGATGGACTAAAGCAGGCAATTAACCTGCCACATCTCAGGATGACTCCACAATCACCCCTGATGGATCGATTTGGCAGCTCTACAAAAGGTCAGTTCTTTCCTGTCTGAGGAGAAACCTGCTGTTGAAGCACATTGACTTGAGGACGTATGGATGAGGGTTAGGAATAAAAGGTTGGCAACACCTCAGGGTATCAGTCAGCTGCCACCTTTTCTCATGTTATGAAAGAACTGATGGGGGGGGTTTCATCAGGAAAGACAGAATTGGATGATTGACAGCATTCATTATTGGTAGTGATTGTTTGACAGGAATGTTCAGCCTGATTAAAATGACATGCTTCAGCTTGGGTGTATAAAAATTGTTAAGAGTTTCCCTGCTTTGTCTTTTCCCTGCTTTGTCTTTATCCTATTTTTTCCCCACAAATATAATGAAAAAGGCTCCAAAGATAATATTTTTATGTTAAAAAGAATCACAGATTAGAACCTCACCATAGTAAGTGAAGTACTGCGCTAAGTGGAGAAAGGTGACAGACACGAGGATGTTGAAGGTCCAGGTGACTCCGGCTGCACAAGCGTTCCCTGTGCTCCTTGCCCACAGAGGGTAGATCTCTGAGTTGATGGTCCATGGCATTGGACCCATCCCTGAGAGAAAGATCAATGATTACATCATGAGGAGACAAAGACAAACAAGAGGGGCAGCAATATAGTTTATTGGGATCACAGTGGATGTGTCCTCACTTGGCCAAAATAATGACTTTTGTGTCCTATTGATTGAACATTCAGATCTTGGTGCATTGTTTCAATATTTAAACAACATCAAAGCAGGCTCAACGTC